GGGGCGTGGGAATGCGGGATCTTTTTTTGCCTGTCCGTGTTTTTCCGCCCAATTAGTTTCGTTCCTACTTCCCTACTGCGCTACCAGAACTACGTACTTAATATAAATACAAATGAGCCGTGCCATTCCGCTTTTTTACTGTATAAAACATCGATGCGTAGAATGGCAAAGTGTATTCGTATCGATGACTACTACTACGGAGGATTTTTGTAGCGGCTACCTATTACAGATAATCAAAACTCAATGGCTCACGAATGCGGATTTGACTTAAACGAGTTGAATATCAGCACTTTCTGCAAACCCTTCAAGCATGTAAAGGACTTGGTCGTTGGAGATAAGTACAAAATTTTTGTTTGTTTCTATGAAATATACAGTTTTATTATGGCATGTTATGTTGAAGACGATGATGACTGTTTTGGGTCAACATTCCCATATATATATAAAAAGATATTAGTAAAAGTCTCAGTAGTAGTAATTTAAGCGTGCTGACAAATGGCGTGCCAATTCAAACATCCCTTCTCAGCAATAATTGCAGGTCCATCGGCGTGCGGAAAATCTTATTTTATTGTTAGATTCCTTCTTCTGCTGATGATTATAAGGACTTCCCGGAGACCTTAGAATGGTTAATTGAGAGGACTTTATCGCCGTCAAAAATGTGTGATGAACCCCTTAATTTAGCAGAAATTTTTGATAGCATAACACCTACAGAGAATATAGTTGAGGTAAGTGATGTAGCAGAGCCTTTAGTAGTGTCTGATGCGGACTGTACTGTTGTCTCAGATGATGAATGTACACAACATGCATCATCTGAAGCAACGATACCAGATTGTACACAATCATTATCTAAAACAATAATACCGTCCGTATCTATTACCTCTGAGGAAGTACCATCATTTATTCTTGATGAGAATTGTATTGTCGCATTCAATGAAGAGTGGTCGACCTCCCTCATTGAATGCTACAATACAATCTCTTCTGTTATGGATTTTCCTCCCCCACCTTATTCCGAGGATGGAACAATGTATGGATTTTTAAATGGAATAATATTTGATTCTACCAATAAAGATTTAAAATGATCTCGTATTTTTGGTGGAGCTTTTTCTCTTAAAAATATTTTATCCATGTGTAAAAAATTATTTTGTTTAGTTAAGAGTAATGATTTATATTGTGTATCATCTTCTATTACTATCCACATAATTCCATTCCAATAAACATATTCACCTGATGATATTCGAATAACATTTCCTAATTTAATATAATATCTACACATATCGAATAATGAAAGTCTAGGGTATGGAATAAATTTAGTTATACAGTTTAAATTATTTCCATATTTTATAACACATATATTGTTAGGTTTAAAAATTAAATAATGTTTATTTTTATGTTCATTTTTTAAACACCAACAAGGATTATCTGAAGATATTTTGAATTCCAAATCAATTTTTTCGTCTAATTCAAAATTATCTTCTCTTTTTATTATAACATCTATATTCTTTGGTTTTTTTTTTACATATTGTAATATAAAAGCATATAAATAATATCCAGAAAGAAACATTATGTGAGGATATAATATAGTATCTTCATTTTTATTAATATTTGAAATAATATTATTTATTTTACTATTATTGTTTATTTCTAATATAAAACTATCCTTATTTTCATACTCTAAATCCACAAATGTAAATAAATATTTTTTTAAATCATTATAATTAGAGATTGTGTCATTATATTCTTGCTGATAAAAATTATCATTTTCTGATTTTATAGAATATATGAAACGTAATTGTGTATTTTCTCTAAACACATGTAAATCGATTTTTGTTGTTAATATATTTTGTGATTCTTTTATAAGATCTCCAATTACATGTTTTAAATATTTTAAAGTTTTTTGGTTTAATAAAATATTGTTAAATATTACGTGAAAAGATATTTTCAAAGGATTATTTGATTTTGTAATTTTTATATCTTTTTTTATATCATCAGATTCTATTTTTTTATCAATTATTATATCTTCTCTATTTATTAAAAATTCCACAACTTCTTGAATAGTTTTTTTTATTTCATTATCAAAATTTAAATTATCAAAATCAATATTTTCATCTTTTAAAGATAAATCAATATCTAAAAATAATTTAAAATAAGAATCTATGTTATTAATTATAAATTCATGATATTCTAGATTTTTTGTATTATTTCTTACTAATTCTATTTCATTATATAAATCTTTTAATGTTATTTTTTTATTTTACTATTTATATTATCATCTTGTACATCAAATATCATATTTTGTTTATTCTCTTTAGATACACATAATCCTATTTGTAAAAAAACATAATTATCTTGATTATCAATATTATTCATTTTTATTTTATTTTAGTCTAATCTAATAAAATTTCAAATAATTTACGATAATTTAAATAATGAGTTCTAATATTTTAAATATATATTCTATGAATGAAAAAGGTATTTTATTATATAATTTAGTATCTGAAAGTTTTTTCGAAAAACTTTCAAAAATACAATCATCAGCTAATGTTAATTGTTTAATACGATTTAAAAAAATTGAAGCTAATTTATCAAAAAATTGTAGAATCTTAATAGAAAATAAATGTACATCAAATACATCTTCATCATTCAGTCTTCTCATAGAATCAATTAAAGAAGTGTTGTTAAATGTAGATAAAGAAACTCGTAATCATATTGAAAATACTCTAGGAATTAGTGTTTTTGAAATAGATGTAAATTCTAATAAAGGTTTTATTAAAACATGTATAGAATATAATAGAATTAACTCAAAATATAGATGTAGATATCTTAAAAATAGAAAATTGTTTTTCAACAGTTCCCATATATTTTAAATTTATAAATAGTGGAGAAGCATCTAATTGTGGATTAAGTGAATTTTCAAAATCTTTAACTACATTATTATCTGATATCGAATATAATAATCCAAAAGAATATTATCTATATAAATTTTTAAATATAACTTGAAAATTATATTATTTTGATTATAATTTTTTTATTAATAACTATTGTTTTGTATATTATTATATTTTTTATTAATTATAAAAAAATTACAAATATATACCATTCTAGAAATGATTTACTAATACCAAATACTAGTTTTATTAACTTAAGAAAAGATCCTAGATTTATATTAAATAGAAAAATATTAATATTATGTAATATACAATGGAAACAAGCAATAAAGTTTGTTTAGTATTTAATAAAAATACAAAAAATAAAAAAGTAGAAGATGAAAATGAAAAAAATAATAATATAGAGATAGAATTTTGGAAAAAATATTTTTCAAAAAAAAATATGATATATAATGAAGATAACAGATTAATAGAAATAGATAAATGGAGAAACTCTCCTAACATTATGTTCAACGATCTTCAAGACATATATATACCTGCTATCGTATTAAAAAGATATGTTAGTGAAGATTTGTTAGTTCAGAAAAAAAAAAATATTGAGGAGTTTAATTTATAAAAAAAATATAATAAATAACTATGAGATGCCCCAACCTTAACAACGTCCTGTGAATATGATTGCCGATACGAAGCACCCTATACATCATGTAGGTTACACAAGCTGCCAACAGAAATCTGGTGGGATTACAGAAAAGGGAAAGAGAGCGAAGATGAGACGGATGGAATTTCTTGGAAGACGACATGTGTTTACAATTTCAGGCACCTGCAGTCCACTTTTTTCTTAGAAATGCGTGAAATGCAGGGAATGGGGATTTTGGGGTGGTTTAGGGGTATTAGCAGATCAAATTACCGCGTGGCTTGGGTTGGTCAAATAAATAGGATTTAACATGTGTGTTCATGGTCTTTGTCTTGTAACCGGCTGAAGTGTAAAGTACGGCTTGTCTTGAAGTATTTTGTTATACCTTAATAACTGCTGTGTGCTTTTGCTTTGTTATATCAGGTGAGGTATTTGCCTTATTGAATTAATCTATAAATGTGTGTTAAAACTCCCTCGTTCGGTTATTTATGAACCGATCGGGCTCGATTATGGCTCGTTGGAAAGAGGAAGGTTCACAGAATTCAGAAAAAAATTTCGCTAAGATCGGACATCCGGTTCCGGAGAAAATCCACCCTAACTTTGGTCAGCTGCTGTGACGTAACCCACCGGGCTCAAATTTTTGTGGTGGATTCTCTGATCCTTTAGCTTTCCAACGAGCCCTCAACGAGCTCGATCGGTTGATAAATAACCGAACGAGGGAGTTTTAAAGGGGGTCATGTCAAAAATTTTGAGTTTTTTTTTAGTTTTGAGTGCCTAAATGGCCTCGCAGGTCAAAATAAATGTCAAATTTGGATTCCTCGCACCCGATTTAGTCTAAGAACAAGTTTTCGTTCGATTCCGAGAGGTTGACCAAACATCGAAATTTACGACGAAAATTACGAAAAATTGTCCATTTCGGAGCCTACCGGACTTTCACTTTTTTCTATGCCGGGACGTAGGAAAAAGTCAAAAAATGCAACTTTTTTATTTATCGAGATATCGACTTGAAATTTTTTTTGGTTTATATGTATTAGTAATAGGGGTGCTCTGAATCCAAATTGGGCCTTACTTTTGGGCCACGAGGCCATTTAGGCACTCAAAATTTAAAAAAAACTCAAAATTTTTGACATGACCCCCTTTAAAACTCCCTCGTTCGGTTATTTATCAACCGGGTCCCCTTCAAAAATTACGCGCTCCTTCTCTGGGATAAGTTCAGATAATCCATCAAAATTAAAATTTGGTTCGATTGACAAACAACTGATATCAAATATGCAAATATTTCACCTTATGTTTTCATTCCTTTCCAAATCTCTTTGAGTACACGTTTATATCAGCTATATTATTCTACGAAACTTTTATTTTTTTTTTATTACATTTTTCAAAACTTTAATTTTTATTTAATTTTTACATTTAATTTAATTAATTAAATATACATCATTATTTTAGGAAGCATGGAAGCAATTAATGTAAGTAACTATACAAACTATAATATCTATAACGTCCATCGAGTGGCCTTTGGAAGTTCAAATTAAAATTAAAGAAAAATTCCAAAGGCGACCTGTCGGATCGCCTGTTATAATTAATTGTACAAAACGAACGACATACAGACAAACAGACAAATACAAATCGTTACTTTATTTTAGAGCCTCTTCTTCAGACCGGTGCGGCTACAAATTTTGAAAAACATAATACGGCAGTATGAAACAGCGGCCGAAATTAATATCAACCAGATATGCAAAGAATTTTACAAGGGTTACGCAACAAGGGATACGAAGGTCAAATTAGAAGAATTTATACGACACAATTTCGACGATCTAAAAACTAAAAACGTCATTTCCCTATCCCCTGTTGCGGCCCTTGCACATTTACTGGACCACTCGGCTGCGTTGGAGGGAGTTAAACAGCGAACGGCTAAAGGCGGGTACAGCAAATCTAAAATGGAATACATAATTCAAGCGATTTTTGAATTAAGTGCCCCCCCTCCAACAGAAGCAGTCGAAATATTGAAAACATTGCTGCAGAAAAGCGAAGTAAACGATTTTGTGGCCGAAGCCGGCTCCGAAGAAGAGGCAAAAGAGTTGCTGGGGCAAGCGCTCCGACTTTTTCCCCCTTTTTGGTACGAGATAAAGCCAAAAGTGTACCAAAAAAGGCCACAAAGGCAAAAAAGGGGGAGAAAAGCGATGCGAGAAAGGTCGTCCCAGGAGTCGTCCTCGACGGATGTGTCGACGGCAGGTGTTGAGGACACAGCAACGGCGGTGATTGATGATGTTGTCGGTCCTTCATCTGCATTGAACATGGAAAATGAAAGTCAAAACACAGCGGTGGAGCCCACGGTCTTACCTGCACCTACATCGGTCGCTATCTCGGTCGCTATTGAGGTCCATCGCTGTGCGGACGGAAGTAGGCCACGTTCAAGGCAGATGAACAAACGGGCAGCGATCGATGCAGCTGTTGCTGGTCCATCAAACGCGGGCGCACAAGCCGGGTGGGACGACATCGTGACGAACCCCGCATCGCCGTCGCCGATCCGACACTCTCCGCCCTCATCTTCCTCCTCATCATCTTCGCCCTCACCATCAGCTACCGACCCTGTCAATCCTCTGGCCACCGTTCCACCGCCCATAAATGTAGGGGACTTGGTTTGGGCGAAAGCCAAATTCATGGGCTATTGGCTGGGCGAGGGTGTGGACGTGGTCAGAGTAACTCGCCACATAAATTACATTGTGGAGCTAAAGGGCAGGGGGAGATTCAAAATTGCCGAACACTTTGTGAAAGTATTTAATCGCGCAGAACCGATACCGTCTTTTGTAAAACCCGGCAAAAAACAACGAGAAACGTTAAGAAAAATCATCGACAGCCTCCCACAATAAAAACACTTCCTTTTTTTTAAAAAATTATTTCCCGTACGACTAACCTATATGACAATAACCTATTTCACTCATAAAACACCTTATGATTTGACATTCACAAACGTCAAACTTCCGATCTTCGGTAATGCATCTAATTTCATAGGCAAACTTTGGAGTGGGATCTTTTGATTGTTTATATAAGCAACTTAAACTACACTGCAGCGTATTCTTTTTGCAAATTTCATTACGAAATATCGAACAACCGATCGGGGCGTTTACAGCAGCGTTCCCTGTACTTTAAGTTGCATAAGCATAAACTCCGCATGTATTTTACTCGTGGACAATATAGTGTACCTCAGGGCGTCAGCTGTTTACATTTTAAGAGTACCCTTACCCCTCCTTTATCTTTCCTTCTCTAAGGTATTTTTATAACAAATGGACTATTTATAGATCTGTCAGCTGCCAGGCGGATGTACCAAATCAGCAAGTAAAAAACCGATTATTTAAGACAAAGGAAGGAAGAGAAGAGCCACAACGAAATCAAATTACCTGAAAATAGTGGCCTCGTTATAATGAAGTAAGTTATGGTGTTGTACTTACTCAGTCATAGAGGGTGGAAATATTTTAGGATAGTTCCACTTGCACCGAACTGCACAGACCATTGCCTCCACCACCTTCTTGGAAGACATCAGTCTGTTCAGTTGCTTACGGTACATCAACGGAAGCCGAGGATGTCTCGCATCGACAAAGGGACTATCCCGATGCACAGCTTCGAAGGTCGGTACGAAACTGGGCATCCGGCGCCCCTTCTGCAAGAATTCCTCAGCCCTCGTTTGGAATGTGGAACTCTCCCGCAACACCTCCACCAACCGGACCACATAATTAGTGATACGTTGCCCCAAAAGAAACTTTATCGCCGGTCGAAAATCTTCGCCTTCGGCGAATATTTTCTGCAGCACAAGAGGTCTTTTGAGGAAACATATAATTAAGCGGTCCGTGTCCCTCGAACGCAACGCCCGCTCAACAAATTCTCGTCGTCGTTTTTGCTAAAATTTAATTGATTCATGCATTGAACGGTGATGTGATTATGTGAGCTTACCAACTGGTACAACCGGTCCTTCGCCTTCCGATTTCTCTCCCTCCAGTCCTCCAGTACCCTGATCTTCGCCCACTGCAAGTACCCCGGAAGCAGGGCAAACAACCGTTCCGCAGCGTTCATCTTCAGGGTATCACTTAACTTGCCGGTGGCAATCAACTTCCGTCTATAAATGGTACCCTTCTGATTCATCACCCGGTCGTAGGCCCGCCTCGATTTGTATTCCCGGGGATTGTATTTGCACTTTCGACGAAGCCTGTGGTACATCTCGTTAGCCGCAACTTTCCTACATCTCGCTCGGAATGCCTGTGTAATTATTAAATGTACGTTTTATAAAATATAAAGATACGAAATTTTACAGTTTTGAAGTGTTGTACTGCTCTCCTTTGAAGTTCTACGTCAACCTCAGCATCACCTTCACTTCCTTCCTCAGGAGGATCACACAGTACGACTATCTCTTCAGGATCGCAAGACATGATGTATCAAGAGAACTAATTAATGATGCTTGACAGAATTTATTATAGAATTTTGTTTTACAGTAATTAGTTACATGTCAGAAGAACGTGTTACTTTGACATTGACAAAAAAATGCCTACTTGCATTTTTTTTATATTCTAAAAATAAATCATTTAAGTATAGAATTTTGTTAATCTATTACCTAGATTGTTTTAAAATAATTAGGTACAATTTTCATCAATGTTATAAATAAGATGTTACAATAAATTACATTTCAGTATGCATTTTACATTTGCCAATTATTAAATGTACGTTTTATAAAATTTAAAGATACGAAATTTTACAGTTTTGAAGTGTTGTACTTCTCTCCTTTGAAATTCTACGTCAACCTCAGCATCACTTTCACTTCCTTCCTCAGGAGGATCACACAGTACGACTATCTCTTCAGGATCGCAAGACATGATGTATCAAGAGAACTAATTAATGATGCTTGACAGAACTTATTATAGAATTTTGTTTTACAATAATTAGGTACATGTCAGAAGAACGTGTTACTTTGACATTGACAAAAAAATGCCTACTTGCATTTTTTTTATATTCTAAAAATAAGTCATTTAAGTATAGAATTTTGTTAATCTATTACCTAGATTGTTTTAAAATAATTAGGTACAATTTTCATCAATGTTATAAATAAGATGTTACAATAAATTACATTTCAGTATGCATTTTACATTTGCCAATTTGTTCAACGAGATCGACAAGTTGAAGAAAATATCAAAGTTCTTGCAAGAAAAAGGATGGGACAAAAGTTGCTTGAAGAAGCGAAAGTGCTTGTTGAAGATCTACTTTGCAATGAAGTACCGTTCCCATCCCACGAAGGAGTCTATAGAAAATTTACGTCTTCAACTACAAAAAGTTCAATTTGATGATTTATATAATGGCACTCTTCTCCACATTTCTCCTATCTACGCACTTGCACATTCTCTTAAATTTCGATCACGCATGTCTCATTCTCATTTCACGAAGGTAGGTTGCAGTAAACATTTATCACTCCGCATCGCCAATGTCCTCTTCCCTGCTGTTTCCCCTGATTTCATTGCCCCCATCATTCAAAAATACCTTAAAAAAAAAGCTTTCGTCAAACTCTTCAAACAAATTAATCAACAACACTTTTGCTTCGTTACCATTGAACACCTATTCCGCAGCCTCCACTAACCATTCAACTAACCATTCATTACACTTCTGTTTTCATTTTCACTTCTGTTTTCATTCTCTTCATCTGTTTCTTTTTCTTTCACCTTCTCTAAATTTTGCAAATAAACTTTAAAAATAAAAAACATAACCCTGTTTTTAAGTCTACGTAAACTTTCGATCTAGCGGTATTCGATGTAACCCTTGCAATCGATGTACTTCCTTTATCGCCCGCTAATTTGAATTTTTGAAGGTTATCTTGACGGTAACCTCAAATAATGAAGAAATTCGCCCTTTTTATTCCCTATGACTGCTAAAAAACGTCTCCCAGGTAAGAAATAATGCTTTATTTGAATTCCTCGCGCCCTATTTTGTATAAGAACGTCATTTCGTTCATTTCCGAGAGCTTGACAAAATCGCCTTTTTTTTACGATTTTTTAGGATAGAGCCCAAATGCGCTTCTTTTTGGAAAACTCACCCTGCTACTTTTTCCCGAAATAATTCAACGAGTAACATGTAATTTTTTCAGAATTTTTCGAGTAAAAGAAAGGGCACTGAAAACTCGATTCCGGGTTTCATGTTTTAGTCGGACATCCGGTTCCGGAGAAAATCCACCCTAACTTTGGTCCGCTGCTGTGACGTAACCCTTCGACCCCTTTGTGGCGGATTCTCTGATCCTTTAGCTTTCCAAAGATCCCTCAACGAGCTCGATCGGTTGATAAATAACCGAACGAGGGAGTTTTAAAGGGGGTCATGTCAAAAAACAACTTACTGTCACCAAGGTCTAGATAGGTATAGGCAACTCCAACTACAAGAATGTGCATCTAGTTGCCTACAACAACAAAACTATTGCCACTACATTTTTTTTTTACCCTACTGCTACTCATAAGTAAAGTAACCCTATACAAGTACACTTTATTTTTATAATGGAACTTCCTGTAAGTACTTAAGAAATTAATAAATTAACAAAAACTAAATACGAATAAATACAGGATATTTTCTTCCAACCCCTGAAGTTAAATAAACTTCAGCACCTGCTGCGCTCCTACCACCGCGTGGAGGACGTAGACTTCGAGGCAGTGCGGAGAGGATACTGGCGTGGCTATGTCTGTCTTCAGCAAGCTCGAAAACTTGAAGACGTCATCCGTCACCACTTCGAAAGGCTGAAGATGGATATGTACGTAGCGTCCCCTCTGGCTGCCTTTTGTTATGTCGCCTTCCACGTCGGGCTCGACATAGAGTTGCTGCCGAATTCGAAAGGTGGGCCGAGCGTAGCAGTGCTTCGTGGGTTGATGGAAGAGATGCTGCGCGGACCCCAACAGTACTCCGAACAGTCCGTCGCCGCATTCCAGCGACTGCGACGTCGAGGGCAGTTCAAACTGACCTTCGACGCCGTACAGACAACGGTATACGACGACGGACTGTACGGTTTGGCCCAAGACTCCCTCCTGCAATTCCTCGACATTCCTCGACTTCCAACCCCAGTTTCTTCTTCCTCTTCCTCATCTTCCCCATCGCCCCAACCGCCACCAACACCCGACCTTTCCGCACCGCCAGCTTCGCCCCCATCGCCACCAATACCCGACCAGACTTCGACGCGACCAAAACGACAGACGAGACCGACAAAAAATAAAGACTTCTTATATTATTAAGAAATGCGTTTTATTTATGGCCTACCTTCATTCTAAAAATGCCCAACTTTGAACGTTTTGTTGCATCGTCATTTCTTATGTGAGGTTAGATTTCAGTTATATTAATAAACTTGGATGTGGTTAAGTTACCATCAAAAGTATCGGGTTTCGGTCAATCTCTCAGAATCGAAAGAAATATCGTTCTTATACTAAATCGGGTGCGAGGAATCCAATTTTTCTATGCCGGGACGTAGGAAAAAGTCAAAAAATGCAACTTTTTTATTTATCGAGATATCGACTTGAAATTTTTTTTGGTTTATATGTATTAGTAAAAGGGGTGCTCTGAATCCAAATTCGGCCTTACTTTTGGGCCACGAGGCCATTTAGGCACTCAAAATTTAAAAAAAACTCAAAATTTTTGACATGACCCCCTTTAAAACTCCCTCGTTCGGTTATTTATGAACCGATCGGGCTCGATTATGGCTCGTTGGAAAGAGGAAGGTTCACAGAATTCAGAAAAAAAATTTCGCTAAGATCGGACATCCGGTTCCGGAGAAAATCCACCCTAACTTTGGTCAGCTGCTGTGACGTAACCCACCGGGCTCAAATTTTTGTGGTGGATTCTCTGATCCTTTAGCTTTCCAACGAGCCCTCAACGAGCTCGATCGGTTGATAAATAACCGAACGAGGGAGTTTTAAAGGGGGTCATGTCAAAAATTTTGAGTTTTTTTTGAATTTTGAGTGCCTAAATGGCCTCGCAGGTCAAAATAAATGTCAAATTTGGATTCCTCGCACCCGATTTAGTCTAAGAACAAGTTTTCGTTCGATTCCGAGAGGTTGACCAAACATCGAAATTTACGACGAAAATTACGAAAAATTGTCCATTTCGGAGCCTACCGGACTTTCACTTTTTTCTATGCCGGGACGTAGGAAAAAGTCAAAAAATGCAACTTTTTTATTTATCGAGATATCGACTTGAAATTTTTTTTTGGGTGATATGTATAAGTAAAAGGGGTGCTCTGAATCCAAATTCGGCCTTACTTTTGGGCCACGAGGCCATTTAGGCACTCAAAATTCAAAAAAAACTCAAAATTTTTGACATGACCCCCTTTAAAACTCCCTCGTTCGGTTATTTATGAACCGATCGGGCTCGATTATGGCTCGTTGGAAAGAGGAAGGTTCACAGAATTCAGAAAAAAAAATTTCGCTAAGATCGGACAAACTATTGCTTTTGGTGTTCCTTACCCATAAAACGCCCTCAGTGCCTGCTGAGAACCCAGTTATTACACGACGTAGGTGTCCTACATGACGATCACGATCTTAGTGCACTCGGAGTGGCCCCAGAGTGATAGATTCTCGCGGGAAATGTAAGCGAGAATATTCAAATAGGCAGCCATGTTAGTTTGGCATTCCCGCTACTACCGAATGTGGTTCAATATTCCAGTGTGACTTGAAGTTGGCGTTAACCACCAAGATAGTAGGAGGCTAAGATCATCACAACTATAAGCATATCATTACAATTACTATTATTATTATTATTACTATTACTATACTATTATTATTACCATTACAATGTATTGCCATAACATAATGTGATATATCAATACGTATTGTATTTTAATGCGTATTAAAAATATGTATTTAAATATTTTAAACAAATTTATTTTTATAAATATTATATAAAAATTTTTTTATATTATTAATAGATTTTATAATTCTAAATGAATAAAAATATTACTTCATTAAATGCCCTTGAATGTGTTCATTTATATAGTGTACGCAATATTATAAAATTTTTTAACAGAAATTATGCCAAATATATCAAAAGAAAATATTTTTTATTTAGAAAATTTATATCTTAAATATAACATTTAAATTTACAAGAATTAGATATAGTACAAGAAAATTTACAAAAAAATTTTTCTAATATTATGAAAATTATAATTATTGATGATGATAGATATAAATTTCATTTAGAAAATAATATCAAATTATTAAATAATAATTTTGGTGTTAAATTAAATGAAGATATATATCAATCGATCATTAATCATCAATTATTATAATTCAGGTTTCGAATAAAACCCGAAAGGATACCCGAAACCCGCTACGTGCCCAAATCCACAACAATACCAAGGGTAAACGTAGCGGGCGTTACAAGATGAAGGACAAGATCGGAAAGTTTATTCCAAAATTGCAGAATCGAGTGGAATCTTTGTGCATCGAAACAAAATTCATCTCAACAGATCGTCTCGTCCATGGCATCTCTAGTACCGCATCGAATTTGCAAAAAAAGAAGTTGAAAAATGTCAATAGATCAATTTTTAAAAAAGACCCAGGATAGATCTAAAATTGTTACTTCATTCCAACCCCAATAATGGTCTATTTGAGGAAGTATGGAAAAAACGTCAAACATCAGAATCCAAAACCACCTATTTTGAGTCGAGGCATTTTAAAAAAGTAAGGTTCAGTAAAGTCATCGATGAAGAGGAAATAACCTTCATATTTCTATGGTCGAGAAGGTCTCACCTCCATATGTTGTTGGTAGATATATAAATCAGGGATTCGAAGAAAGTATACTCTATAGTGATGATTACAAATCCTTGTTTGATAATAAATGGATGCATGGCACTGCAATAAATGCAAGTAGAACACGAGCACCGTGCCCCATCTTGAATTTGGTTACGTCACAAGGTCTTGGATGCTGGATCAAAGGTTACGGTCTTGGATTCTGGATTAAGGTAATGGCAAAGGCAAACGGGTTCAATAAATAAAATAAAATGTGATGAAGTTGCTGCTGCGGCTGCATTGCAAAATCTATGTTACTCTTAAAAGCCTTTGAACGTTTTAGCGTTCTAAGTTTACTAAGATATTTGAGATACTATTAGGAAGCCGTTTGATATACGTTAATAATAGTGCTGTATTCTGTGGAGTGTACATATTACACGGTGTACCAAATAAATAAAACTTGTGTGTACCTAGATTTTATTTAGCGACTCTGGGGCACGACTGCAGCTACCCGCGTGCCCACCAACAACCCTTACACCCGTTCACCCGCAATCCGCATTTTGGTGGAGGTCGCTAAAAACCCGCCACAAAATAGTACTCACTTTTTGGGTACTTCTCATCCCTTGACGACACGAGAAAGAGACCATGATTAGAGCTCTAAGAAGACGCGAGCCTTGCAAAAGGTGGTTAATTTCGCCCCTAGGGAAAAAGACAAAATTTCGCCACGCAGGAGGAGTGCGTGTTTACTAGATCTTTCCGACCACACTAACTTCAAAACAATCGAACCAAATGTAGGTGCATGTACACTCCTCGAAACATCATCTTTCTACAAGCATTGTTCTACGAACTACTGTCAGCCAGTAAAAGTGAGATTAAAAGATATCTTTTTACAAATAAATTTTGCAAAAAGCCCTAAAAATACTGCGGAGACCTTCTGAATGGATTAATTTACCAATCGATATCCAAACGGAATTGTCGTGGAAAAAGAAGCAACTAAATGATATCGATAGGGACCTACTACAGCTTGTAACATACCCTTAACGCCACCTCTCTCCCATTTACACAATCACGCCCACGCGCCCCTACGACTGACTTAAGCGAACCCTAGATGTCACGGCCACAAAATGTAATAGGTCACGAGCTCACAAAGACAGAATACGACGGACCCGGAACGGCAAGGAAGACAGTTCGGTAAACCGGTCCCATACAGACGCTACGGTGGCTTATGGTATCCCCGAGTGAACAACAAGTAATCATCTCGACCGCTACCTGCTCGTGACAGTGCGACGTGAACGTTTGGACCTTTTGTATATTGTTAGTTGTTAAGAATTGTAAATATTGTCGGAACCTAGCCCTGAAATAAAAATAGTCTTGTGCGTGACGTGCGGAGTACTCTCTACCCATCGTCCCATCAAGCTTGAAAAAGGAGCGGACGCAGAGTTAGTTAGACGAGTGAGAGAGATAAATAGTTATATAATTTCTAGTCAAGAACTTGTAGACATTCTAATAG